TCAAATGTTGTCACAGCCTCAGTATAAATCCATAAAAAGTACAAAAAAATCTCACCTGTGTGTCCACATTGGGGAAAGCTTTGTGCACGTTCGCAATTTGTACTGTAATCTTCATCTTTTGATTCCCATAATATGGCGCCGAGCTGTGAGTGATCGTTGTGGTTTGAATCTTCTTACTTCCTGTGTTGTTTTGAAACTGCGCATGTGCAGATATTACTCCACCTATTGACCAAAATGCAGTACTGCAGAAGCAACACAACTCCCTTTCATTCATGTTACATAAGCAAGCTGTTTAAATGTGAAAACTTACTTTTTCTATTTTTTTCCAACACAACACATAAGCGAATTGTTTAATTTAAACATAGTTACATTCTTTGGTCCAACTAAAGCCATAATTAATATTTTTGAGCATTCAAGTACAATTGCATACCAGACCAAAATAATGGTAGCACTTATGAGGAATGGTGATGCAAAATTCTTTTGATTTTTTTTTCACAGTAATTAAATTAAACATGGGCGAGGCAGTGGCGCAGTAGGTAGTGCTGTCGCGTCACAGCAAGAAGGTCGCTGGGTTGCTGGTTCGAACCTCGGCTCAGTTGGCGTTTCTGTGTGGAGTTTGCATGTTCTTCCTGCCTTCGCGTCGGTTTCCTCCAGGTGCTCCGGTTTCCCCCACAGTCCAAAGACATGCGGTACAGGTGAATTGGGTAGGCTAAATTGTCCTTAGTGTATGAGTGTGTGTGTGGATGTTTCCCAGAGATGGGTTGCGGCTAGAAGGGCGTAAAAACTTGCTGGATAAGTTGGCGGTTCATTCCACTGTGGCGACCCCGAATTAATAAAGGGACTAAGCCGACAAGAAAATGAATGAATAAATGAAACATCAAAAAAATATGTGCGTTTAATTAAATGTGTGTAAAATCTAATTTAATTAGATACAGACTCCAGAATGGGATGTCTGGTTATTGACCCAAATGTAAATGTACACACTCTCAGAGGATTTTCTTTCAGGTCTATGCAGCTGCCTTTAACAATGAAATATGTATACCAAACTGAAAATAATGTACAAAAAAATAAATATGCATGCAAGAATAATTTGTACATTCCTCAACATTTAAAAGACACTTTGCAAGGAAGTAAAATTTGACAAAGTGTAAAAAATAAAATATAGCCATGATCCCAAACATCAAAGCAGAAATATAGTGATTTTGAGGTTGCAATTCTCAATATCTGTGAATGTATCAAAACTTGTTCTGTGTTCACCTTCAGCTAAAATCATAGGTTTTGGAATGAAAGAACATGTTAAAAATAGCAGATGAAATAACTGCTATTAAGAAGCAAAACTGAACCCTCTTGGTTTTTTAGCAGTGTAACACATTCATCTAAACTGAGCACTAATCTAACAGAGCACACCATGGCACTCACCGAAGAGAGAGAGACAGAGAGAGAAATCAAATTAATTCTTCTCTTCAGAACAAGATAACAGATACATTGACTAGAACACGCTTCAAATTAGCAAAATAAAGACTATATTTTCTTAAGTGTTCATAAGACACTTGATATACTATAGAGTCAATCCAGGGCCATATATACTTGCAAAATAAAAATTGCAAACAAAAAATAAAGTATTGAGCAAAAAAATAATAAAATAAAATAAATAAATAAATAAATAAATGCAAATCTTTAAAAAATTGCAAAGAGAAAATTAATTTTTGTGAAATAAAAATTAAATTTGGAAACAAAAAAGAACTGCAAATAAAAATCAAACGGTGCAAATAAAAATACTAAAATATTTGCAATTAAATAAAAAAACTATACATTTTTATAGCCTTGCCTTTACAAAATGTGTCCACTCAATTGCAGTGCTCATTTGGATTTGCTTTTTAGTCAACTGTGAGTTTGCTATGCTGTTTTCACTTTTCATTTCACGTTTCTGTACGTTTCACTTTGTGGCCCTGATTTGACAAGGGAGTGGTGTCAAGGGAACTTGGCCATCTACGGCAGGCCCAGACCTATTGGACGGTAAGACCACCTTAGTGATACTGTGTCTCCAGTTGATGATGTCGCTTAAATGAAGGCAGGTCCGGGCCATTGACTGGACAGGTTTTGTAAAGGCTTGCTATAAAAATGTTTTGCTAATATATATAGTTTTTTATCGAATATTTTAGTATTTTTGCACTGCTTGATTTTTATTTGCAGTTCTTTTTTTGTTTGCAAATTAAATTTTTATTTCTCAAAAAATTATTTTCCCTTTGCAATTTTTAGAGATTTACCTTTATTTATTTATTTATTTATTTTTTGCTAAATAGTTTATTTTTTGTTTGCAAAACTTTCTTTTATTTGCATGTATTCTGTATATGGCCCTAGATTGACTCCATATTAGAATTTAATTCAGTCAAAACATTACAAAACATAAGGTGATCTTTTGTTTTGTTTTTATTAAAAAGAACCAGCATGTACAGTTGCATTATACAACAAAATCACTTCACATTCCTTAATAATAAGGATTAAATGAGAAAAGAAGAACAAAAAACACACACAAGGTGATTTTAGAGACAAACTGAATGTATGTTGAACGGCAATTATAAGGATCTTTGTGATCAGACAGTTCAAGACGAATGATTTTTTAGTATAAAATGGCACTTGACAAATTTGTGATCTTTCAAATTTCACGTGCATTTTGTTTTATTTACATATTTTATGACGTCATCCTGTTGTGAGCTGAGAAGGTAACCACTAGAGGGCAACACGTGTCCGTTTGTCAAGTTTAACAAGCGTTTGTTTAATGGATTTGCTACAGCAGCCAATAGTGACCCGCTTATATGGCACCTCTCTACAGCATAGTATATATAACAATAGTATAATATAATGACCATAATAATGAGACATCTTATTGTGGTGTAATGTCAAATTAATCAATCAGCTAAAGTTGTAATTCTAAATGTGTACTAATGTTTCAATAACATATGTTAAAGAATCAAATATGGAAGCTCAATCGTCATTCAATCATTAGTATTTGTGATTTATGTTAACATGAAACAAGAATTATTTTATCAAACGTAGCTACTTCAAATACTGTAATTTTTAAAAATGACACAACCACACTAATAGTGTTTATGTATTTTTACAATGTTTGTTTGTTGGCTGGACAGCACAAGATATAAACAATATGGTCTTATTATGATATATATATATTTTTTTTTTTTTTTTTTTTTTTTTTTTGGCCAAAATGTAACATCCATTAGTCCATAGTGTCCACATCAAATTAAATTGACAAAAATTATTTTCTTACAGAAAGCATATTAAACACAAATAAGTAAGTGCTTTAATGTTTTACCCTTCATTCTTCTGTGTAAAAGATATATTTATGTAAAAACGAAACAACATATTGAATCTTACTTGCACTTAAAAATATTTTAGTTGAATTCTATAAATGTATTTGAAACACATGAAAACTCCTCTTCATCTCTGAGACATAAATAAATCAAAGTTTAGATTGTTCCTAAAAGAATACAAACCAACTATGGGGAAAGCCCTAATCAGAAATAACTAACTATTCATACAGTTTTAACTCTTGAAATATGAATATTTTGTTAATATTATTAAAGTGTGAACCTTGAGTTGAGAGTAGGCATAATACTTGTGAAATAAAATCATTTGCAATAGGACTTCAGTAGCAGTGAAACCAAAAGGGCATCATGGTGTTTTCAAATGGAAGCATTGCCTTTGAGCAGGGCACTTAACCCACTGTTTCTCCAGGGAGAGTCTGTCTCTGCAATTACTCTAGTGTACATCAGAGGTTAACACTGGTTAATAATGGATAGCACTGTCTGAAATTTAGACCATTCTATAATGTGACGAAATATAATGAAAATACATTTGCTTGGTTAATCATTTAGATCATTTATGATAGAAATAACTCTCCATCTAAATGGGAGAATAATATGGTGGTGAAAGATGCAGCTCTATATTTCAAGATGCAGGGATTGATGCAAAATTACGGTTTATGTCTGAAATTATGAGCAGCTCCAGCGGTTTTGAGTTTATTTTGTATGCATATGAATTTAAAGGTGCTTAAGCATCAAACCAAACATGTTCAATTTGGTACATGCATGCATGCAGTGATTACAGTGACTTACTGCATAGATTGAGAGTATGCCATAGGAATGCAGGAGGAAATCATTTACAGTCAAAAAGCTTCAAGAAGATTTTAATGTATGTCAAGTGCAGGTAACATCTTCCCTATGAAACACTGATAAGGGCTTGACAAGCTGACCTTCAAAATAGTGCATTCATTCCTATTCATATATTTATATTTACTTTGTTTTATTGGGCGTTTTATGCTATACTATAATTTTTTTAGTGCAAAATAATGGATTAGATTGGATAGGTTGATGTAAGATTGTCATTTATTCACATGGCTGACAGACAAAAAATGGGTTTATCTTCAGGTATTTTGAAAAGTATATATTTCATGATAAATATTAATTTTGAATCTTTCATCAATATATTCAATATATTCAATAGATCAATATATTGTTATATTGTTTCATTTTACATAAATGTTTCTGTTACATAAAATAAAACATAAAACATGTTTCACCCATAGATTTAGATATTTTTTTAAACACAAAGTTTATTTGAAACATTAAGCATTTTACTTTCATTCAATATAAGTTTTTTGTTTGTTTGTTTGTTTGTTTGTTTAGTTTTGTTAAAAAATAATAACATTTGTAATATTAATTTAATGGTGACACCAAAAAGGGAAGTCTTGTCTTTGATACAGACTTACATTAAACTGCAAATGTATGCAAATCCCATCCATTACACTTCTTTCTTCACTGTATTTTTGTAAAATGTAAATATTCTTTCAATGTATTTCAGTCTTATTGATTGGAGCTCAAAGTTGGATGTTTTTCTTTGCTGTTTATCCCTCTTCCTCGTTTGTGCTATTTGTAAATTGTTAAATTGACATAAAGATGAAATGTTGAACAACTGATGCTCTCACATTCTACGAGAGCACGAGGACGCGCGTAGTGGCAGCGCGAGTGCGCTCGCGCGCGCCCGTGTTTGTTCATGTGTAGACTGATCCACTGCGTTGGAAAATGAGCAAAGACTCGCCCACATTTTCTGTCGACGCTCCATAAAATCGTTAGCCCAACATCCCTGCCTTTAATAAGTTTCTAGGCTGCCTGTCCCTTTAAACGAGTCGTTTTTCTTTAATCCTGAATTGATGGCTTAAATGCGGAGATAGAGAATAGAGGGTGAGCAATATTTATCAGCGCTTTATATCGTTATTTTTTGTACCAAAAGCATTGAAAGTTTGTTTTCTTTGAAGACCGGATCTAAATGACGCTTTTTAATTTTTAAATCACCTGAATGCAACTCCACTGATTCAGAATGACAAGCTTTTAGGAGGAGACACACAGCATCTTTGGATTTATTCCAGGATCGTACAACTTTCAAAGACAAAAAACACATTTTGGAAATATGTCTCATAAATTTGAGTGAAGAAACTGTCGTGAGGATCATGTGTTTGGCTCCAATGAGGTCAAAGTGACAATCTCCGTCATGTATGAGGAGAACCGTAAAAGTAAGTTTTATTTTGTCATGTTTTATGAATATTAAGTCTGATTTTATGTATATTTCGTTGATTATGCTGTTAAAAGACAACCTAGTGTTACTTGTGTCAGTGTCTAGTCCATATAAATTATGCACTAATTTTTTATTAAGTTCAGTTTACATGCTGACTTACTATAGTCGTCGATTGTATTTAGTGTAGGCAGCTAAATAGATCAGTATTTCTCACACAAAAATAAATACACTGACCAGAGGGGAAAAAAAAAATTGTTAATTTTGCTTTTTGTTGGGTTTCTTAAAATAATGTTTAGCTGTAATGTAAAGTAAATGTGTGATTTACGTTGTTAAATATATTTTCCTAAAGACTTTTAATTTATTGGGCATAATAAAGTAACCCACATTTACACATTAACTGGTTTTTACTCTAGCTTTTTTGCTTTCTTGTTAAAATGACTGGCTAACCACACCTCATTTGTCAGGATAATTGACAGTTATTCTAATTAAAGGAACACAAAATATATTACATGTTAATTATAATGCAAGATGAGGGTTTTCAGCCTTGAGCTCTGTTACGATCAAATTATGAATTTATTTTTCCAATTTATTTTTCCTGTTCACAGCACCAGATGTTTCACTGCCAAAGGGTCATTTTCAGAGCATAACCTGCACATGCGCTTTATGATGACTTTCTGATTACAGGCAACCTGCAATTACAGATATCATTTGACGTCCATCATAGCCAAGTAACCCCAGCTCTGCAGGTTAATGCACACAGCAGAGCATAATACAGGTCTCTGGAGACAGCAAATGAATATTCTGCTGGTAGTACGTTTAATTAAATGGGCCTCTAATCTTTGATCCCTAACTAGCTCAAGAACCAAATCCTACTTCTTTAGAAACAAGCCTGCACATGAGAGATGCTGTGCATGTCTCTTTGCACAGGCTTTTAGAACGCTTTAGGACACTTTTTTGGGAAAAACTAAGGGCAGGTGTTTTTGCCTTTCAATTAAAGAAATAATGAAATATTTCAAAAACTACTAAATAAATGTATTATTTACAATGTGTTTACATTTTCTAGTTTGTAAATGTGCCATTTTGAGTGATATAGTATTAATTGATAGGCCATAGAGTACAGTTATTAAAATGTACAGCTGCAGCTAGTAAAAAAGTATAATTCTGTTGTAAAATTAAGCACCTCATAGCTGATTGGTTTGATACATGGCTTGCAATTTTTCAATTCCTATGAGAGAAATGAAAAATACTATAAGAACCAGCACTGCTCACATAGTTGATGGGCACTAATGCTGTTTATTGTATTCTCATCACATGTTTAAATGAATGCCTATGTATCTTTGGGATGCACCCCATAGAGCATTCAAGCAAATACACAAAAGAGAATGCTTAAAAGCAGAGGACTGAATTTACCAGGCACTCATTCTGGGGTGCATTTCCCAAACAATGATATAACTCGCAGCTGAACTATCATAGTATGATGCATTGTTTGGGAAAAGAATGATGTAGTGATGAGTGTTTCCCTAAACTCGTAGTTTCTCTGTTGCAGATCCATCGTTTTAACCATGTTAGTTATAACTTAAAATGCCCATAATGATGCTCTAAAGTAAACGGAGTGGTAACAACTTCTTCAGAGCAGGACCCCATAATTTCTTTGTGCAAATTTTATCGTTTTACACGCACATGCATTTAAAAAAATGCAATATTAGTTTTGGTAAAAATATGCACTCGTTTTCCATATTAACTGAAATATATGTAAACGTACGGCACATATAGGGCCTATGTTTCCATTACAAATACTATTGAAAACATTACATATTCTATTCTAAAACATTAAATCACTTACAAAAAGCTAACACGTATTCTAACCTCACATATAAATCATAAAAATAAATAAATAATGAGGCTATTTATTAAGAAATGAAATTTAATATTTATAATTTATTAGGAAATTAAAGAAATCATACTTTAATAATGATGATGATGATGATTATTATTATTATTATTAAGAAGGATATTGTTTATTTATTCATTTTTTGAAAAGTCTACTTTTACAACTTAATACCCACTCAAAAATGTTTTTCACTTGTTCAAACTACTTAAAATGAACTGAAACAACACAATTCTTGATAATTCATTGGGACAACTTATTTTTTATGTTCAATCCACAAATTACACCTAAGAGAGATGTTTTTTTTTAATCAATCCAAGTTTAAATGTTAGCGTGTTCTAAATCAGGGTTGGCCACCCCTGTTCTAAACGAATAGGGTATAGGGGGGATAACTGGGAGTAGAACACAGCTAGGAACTATGTTTCTAACTACAGCTCCAGAGGTGTAGTTGCAAGCGTATTGACGGGAGCCCTGGGCCCAAATATCTCTGAGCTCAGGGTTGTCTCCCGGAACAGCATGCCAAACCTGCTATAATGCTAAGCATATCTAAGTGTGAACTCTTGAAACTTGCGACCTTAGTTAGCTAACGACGGTTTTCAGAAACACACCCCTGACTGGAATGGCAGATTGGTTTGTACCATTTTTATTATTATTATTATTATTATTATTTAGGTACAATTGTGGTATCATAGTACTGTTACTTTTTACAACTTGCAAAACATATTGGAGCTAAAGTTCCAATTAATAGTGATGATATTTTTGTTTTAAACCAAAAAACAAAACAAAAAAAAACAATCAAAATCTGTATACTCTTTTTATATTCTGGGTTCGTTTAGACTATAAGAACAATACTTTTGTAACACTCATAACTTAATTCATGAATGAATGAATGAATGAATAAGTAAAATTAAAGCTTTGAATGTTACAATGTTTTAATCATCATATTACTGCATTTATCACTATTATTAATTTAAAAAATTAGATTTTAAAGAGAGAAATTAGAATCTAGATTAGAATTGTTTCAAATCACACATGTACACCAAGTAAGAGAGAGAGGAGACATTTTATGAAATTTGTCTGTGTATTAACTACAATGAAATTGAATTACATTAAAACAACATAAATATGACTTTTGAAGGGCACCTGTTTGACTCCCTTTTCAAGATTTAAGATAAGTATTTTGTGTCTCCAGAATGTATCTGTAAAGTTTAAGCTCAAAACACCCATCAGATCATTTTGGAAGGGCACTTTCTATCCAAGACTAAAAAGGGCATGTGCACTGCACAGGTTAAGCCCTATGTGTGCACGTGCCTGCTCACACAGATAAACTTCACAGTGACAGACAAGAATGAAGCTGATCTCCCTTACTACAGTAAGGTTATGTAATTTATTTGTTGTGGAGTTAATTTAAGCCTTTCTGCAACGATGAGTTGCACACAATGTCGTTATACAGTTTGCTTGCATGTAAGTGCACATTTAGCTTTGCAGTGTTTTTGCAAAAAAATTGTGACCAAATACACGTTAATATCCACTACTTTATGGATATCCATTATGTTAATGTACAAAATAAATCTGATTTAAATCCAAAAACCAGGATTGAAGCATCTTCTTTTATAATTGTACTGACATGCAGCTGTGGTGATGAATTACGTTGCGTTTTTACTTTATTTATTACAAATATGAACTTATCTATATTTGTTTTAAACTTTTAAAACTCATTCTTGAGGTGCAGATGATTGCATAGAGTAAAACAAATCTTTTAATCCCAGTTGCTTTTAGCACGTTCTGTCTTGTTGATATGATTACACACTTTACTATGGAGTCATGTTAATATGTGGCTGTCAGTCAATTTGGTGGGCGGGGAACCGCACTCCTACATCACGTTGTGGTCGGCCTCAGAATTGCAGTGATTTGGATCCCATTTTTATCTCAGGAAATTTAAAAAAGATTCTATCACTCCAATATGACTGTGGACACACTATACTTACATACAGTTCTGTCTAAACAGCTTACAAAAGTTGATTTTCATCATAGGTGCCCTTTAAAAGTTTTCAAACTAAAGAAATTGATTTAAATTTTTTACTTCAGTTTACTTCAGGTTTGTCAATAGACATACAAATATGTTTAGCATTGAAATTTAGTCTTTTAGATGTAAATTTGTATTTAATTGAACACAAAAAAAAGAGTCTGATGCCTTATTGTACTCTATACATACACACATTTGTATTTGGTTATACCTATGAAAAAAATTATTCCTTTACTAAAATCTTAGCATTTTTGTGTATCTTTGGGTTCAAAATAGACTAAAAGTGTAAGTTTAATATTTTTCTGTGTGTGAGAATCCTTTAGCAGTCATTGAGTTTTTAGATCATGCCAGTATTATGGTGGTGAATTATGGATGCAAATGAAATGACATGTTCTTGCCTTTGTGTTCAGTTTTGTTTACTCATTACATTCAGAAACAAGCGATAGAAATGAAATAACTTTAAATTTTAATCTTGCCCATTTGAAATTAAATGCTCAAAAAACGATACCATGATTGAAACCCATTTGTCTTTAAATGAAAAACTGAGTTTGTTGGCTTGTGTTTCCATCACAATGAGCGCCACACAGAGCTAACGCAGCCTAAACAAAAACTCATCCTCCATAATACCTTATTTTAATGACATGCTAAATTGCCCCCTCCATTTCCATTTGGAGCGTGTCTTTATCAGCGCAGAGCAGCAGTCATGATAGCTCACTTTACAAACGTCACACAGGAGTTTATTTCTCCCTCCCGCCTGCCCATTTTAAATGTTCAATGAAAGTACTGATTGCCCTTATCTCCGCCTGATAGGATTCCCTTGCGGTCTCACTGAGGTCTTATGCACATAATAAAGTTATAATTCGCTATCAGAACAGCGTCTTCTCAATCTCCCCCCCACTCTCTCTCTCTCCTCCACCTACCATGAGTCTCTCTTTTAGCTGTCGGCTAGCCGTGTGCTAGCGGCTGACATCATGAATCCACAGGTACTCACATATGAAACCGCTGGCCCAGAATCCCGCTCTGCACCCCCTCTCGCAGTGGGAAGTAGGTCACAGCTGTTACTGTGTGGTTCTCCTCACCTAAAGCAGAGCCTTCCTTTTCATCACACACTATATTGAGGCAGATTAGAAAGATTTGCCTTTATCTCACTCGCCCTCTTTGGTTTGACTAAAGATTTTCGTAGTATTTTGTTACTTCGGTCTTTAGGGCTCCAACCTTCCTGCTGTCCAGATGATGAGGATAAAACCTAGTAAAATGGGCTGAACTATTATTATACTCTGTACCAGGTTATATCAAGCAGATGTGACGTAAATCAATGGCTCAACAATAAAAATGAGCCTCTGGCGTCAAGTGTGAGTGCATTTAGGGACAGTTGACAGAACTAATGTGTGTTAATGACTTTAATGACAACACTTCACATTACTGATTTTATTCTTTCACGTAAACTGAAAAAATGGTTCATTGGATTTACAAATATTTTTTTTTTTTTAGGGTAAGTGGTTGCAAACAATTTATATGGGCTGAATTTAAACAAACAAATTAAGTTTAGTCATTTTCCTTCGGATAGTCCCTTTATACATCAGGGGTCGCCACAGCAGATTAAACTGCCCAAATAAATTAAACATTACTCAATTTTATTTGTTTGTTTAAATTCAGTCCATATAAATTATTTTCAACCAGTTACTTAAAAAAAAATTATTATTCATTGGATTGAATTATTTTATTTAAGTGTTAGATGGTCGCAGCCTCCGGAACATAATTCTTGACTTCTGTCATTCACTTATATGAACTTTTAACTGTAAAAAAAGAGCTTGTTATTCTGATACATGTTGCAAACTGGTATTTTTAAATATTATTTTATTTTTATGTGTTGTCAAAAATATTCATAGGCCGGTATAAGATTCTGACGGTATGATAACCTTGGATAAAATATCACTGCTTTACGGTATTGTGATTACTGCTCTAATATATGGTCTTTTTAAATGTCTGGGTAAAAAACTAAAACTTTTTTCCCTTTGGACACAATATATCAATTAATTAATTAATTTTCTTGTCAGCTTAGTTCCTTTATCAATCTGGGGTCGCCACAGCAGAATGAACCGCCAACTTATCCAGCACATTTTTACGCAGCGGATGCCCTTCCAGCCACAACCCATCTCTGGGAAACATCCACACATTCACAAACCGGAGCACCCGGAGGAAACCCACGCAAACGCAGGGAAAACATGCAAACTCCACACAGAAACGCCAACTGAGCCGGGGATTGAACTAGCGACCTTCTTGCTGTAAGGCGACAGCACTACCTACTGCGCCACTGCATCGCCCAATATATCAATATATACCAATATATTAATAATTTATTTTAAAAAACATTTAAAATATTTTGGAGCATTAAACATGTCAGGTTAAGTAATTCAAATCAATCATTGACTTCTGCTGTCTTCATTAGTTTTAGTTTTAAAAACACAGACTTCTTTACAATTTAAAACAACATCTTTGGATATATTTTGTGCTGGAGATAATGTTGTCCTAAAAAACAAAACAAAAGGGTAAATAAAAAATCGTACACATACTTTATGAACGTTATAGCAGAGCATTTTGGTGTTTTTAAAACCTTGACTTTTCCAAACCACGGTATACCTTAAAAACGGTTATTGTTCCATGCCTGGTCATAAACGCACTGATTTGTAGAGCAAGTACTGTAGTTTGACCATTAGCTGCTGTTTGTTTTTCCTAGTAATTTTTGCCCATATAGGCAAAGGAATCTGAAGTCTTCAAGCAATCTCAGAAAAGAACTGCATTGTAAAATGTGGTCATTATAAATGAGTAATGAAATTAGCAGGACATCTAGCAGTATGATGCAGTATAATGTCATGGAATTTGACAAATTTAATGCCTGTACACCTAATCAAATTGCAATGTTTTCTAGTGGCTGTCCAAATGAATAGATATGTAGATAAGTTGGAAAATGTCAGCAGGTGGGAGAGAAGGTAACAACATAAAAATGAAAGGATGCTTACATTAATGTAACTGAAAAGCTTAATTTGATGCACAGTTTAGGAAAAAGGTAAATTGGGTAAGCCACAATTGTCCATAGTATGTTTGCGAATGAGTGTGTATGTGTTTTCCATCAATGGGGATCCACTGTGTAAAACAGTTCCTGGATAAGTTGGTGGTTCATTCTGCTGTGGAGACTCCAGATTAATAAAGGGACTAAGCCAAAAAAAAATGAATGAATGATGAATGTTATAATATTGTGGGCAGCATGGTGGCACAGTGGGTAGCGCTCTTGCCTCACAGCAAGAAGGTCACTGGTTCGAGCCTCGGCTGGGTCAGTTGGCATTTCTGTGTGGAGCTACCATGTTCTCCGTGTTTGCGTGGGTTTCTTCGGATGCTCCGGTTTCCACCACAAGTCCAAAGACATGCAGTAATCTTAATTGTCTGTAGTGTATGTATGTTGTGATATGTTATAATGTTATAATATTTGTTATAATAGAAATATAATGTAATTAAATTCTGTACTGGTGAAGCTGAATTTTAAGCATCATTACTCCAGTCAAGTTCTTTCAGAAATCATTATAATCATTATATTAACAATCATCAATATATTAACAATCGTTTTTCTTTTTAAAAATAGTCAAACAAACAAAATGATTTAAAGCTGATGTCACAACCTTTCAAGAAGAGTGGCTGTGTCACCCACTGAGCATGCATTTGTTAATTTTAGCTCTGTGGCTGGTTGTTTGCTGTGTCATCCACATATGACCCTTCATTAAGTGACTAAAGCTCTGTCTTTAGGGAATGGGTACTCCAACGAGGAAGAGGAAGGTGGTGGTGAAGCGGAAGAGGAGGAGGAGGAGGGTGGAGAAGGAGGAGGAGGAGGTGACGAAGGCGATAAGGAAGAGAAGGATGAATGGGACGAGGAGGATCGACCGAAGATGAACCGCACAGAAACGCTCATGTCCACCACCAGCTCTACTGCAACACAGAAGAAGAAGAGTCAGCATGTGAAGAAGCAGGTTCAGGGGTCCAACCAGGTCCAGCGTGCACCCAGAGCTCTTTACTGCCTTAAACTGAACAACCCCATCCGCAGGGCTGCCCTTCACCTTGTGGAATGGAAGTATCCATTTACAATTCTGTCAATGTGCACAAACAAAGCTTAAACTACGACAGATAGAGAAGTGCAGAAATGATAAACAGAACCTGCAAGAAAAATCACTGTTGCTTCCTTTGATATTTACTTTTGGCTTTTTTAACAGATTTGAAGGGATAGTTCACGCAAAAATAGAAATACCTCATCATTTACTTACACTCAAATGGTTTTAAACGTCTTTTTTTTTAACACAAATGAAGGTATTCTGAAGAATGTTGGAAAAATGCAATCATAGGAAATCAATAGCTTTTTTCCCACCATGTTTGGTATATCTTCTGTAGTGGTCAACACATTTGGACAAAACGAAGCATGAGTTAATAATGACAGAATTTTCATTATGAGGTGAACTGTGCCTTTAATAAGAAAAATAAGTGGCAAACATATCTTGACAATAATTTCATGACAACATAAACTCACACCCAAACATTAATTCAAAATACATCTACAATGTTCAGCATAATTGAGTAGATCACGTTTAAAAATAAATATATTTATCTATTTCTCAGTAAAGATATGCAATATGTTTTTGTGCATTTAAACAGATTTATTAAACAAAAATATTTATTAAGATTATATTTTAGTCACCAAACATTTTTAGAAATTGAAAGATATTACAATTAAATTCAAGCAAAATATCACCAAAAAAATTACAAGCTACAAAATTTCAACTTAATTTGTCAATTTTCTTGCTTCTCTTAATATTTCCTCTTTTTTAAAAATTGTATTTAATATTTTTCTATAACATAAATTTGAGTGTACCAGTTTTTTGGACTGTTATCATAAGTTATTTTGTTAGATAAGCTCCGGATTTGGCTTCAGTACTGACTAAACTAATGTATATAAACAATTACAATATTGCATAGCTTCCTATTAAAAATATGAAAAGATAGATTTGTGAGGGATTTATTTATATATGCTGAGCACTGTAAGCTTCATTTATTTTGCTGAGCAAAATGTTAAAGTACTGTCAAGTATCATCTTTTTCTCTTAGCAGCAAATAATGATGACTGGAAACTTTTGATTTAAACTAAACTAATGGTTTAATGAAGTTGTTTGTTGTACACTGAAAACACAGAAAACACGCACTCGTTAGTTAGCATACTGTACATACGCCCTCTTAGTTGTGCTAAGCATCATAGGAATTTAGCTCTTAAAGCTGAAAAGTGTATTTAAATATCAAAGGAATCATTTTACATTACGGCTATAAAAACAATAATGAAACCATAAATAATCATTCTCATATTGTTCTAATGTGTCATATATACATGCTACTTGTTTTTCAAAATTTATCAAAAATGATTTATATATGAATATGACATATAATATTATTTATTATATGACATATAGCCTATATTTCTGAGGTCTAGGAAACATTTCCAGGTGTTGATGAATTGGCTACTATATGTTAATACTTTACATTTAAGTACAGCACTTTTCTTTTTAGTTTTTAAGAACATTTACCTACCATTTTTAACTTTTAAAAGCCCATTTTAATTTAAATGTTGACAGTTTTAGTTTTTTGTTTGTTTTTTTTACATATAAGCACAGTATAGTGTTAACGTTCAGACTATTTATATCGTTTAAAATGGCTAACAATAATAAATATTCGTAATAATAGAAATTAATCTGCCATGTTTTAGAACTGTGCAGAGCTGTAGCTGCTTTACTGGGCTTACTACGCTACTGTATTTCAATACTGCTCATTATGGCGGTTCTTGGAAAGACTTTTTTTTTTCTGAGGTGGTATTAGATGAAGAAAGTTTGAGAACCACTGGTTAAGAACAAATGTAATTTCCATTAATTGATAAAAAAAACATTGGAAAAGTTAAGGGAACCCACAGAAATTTATTCTTACAAGTTCTGACGTTATTTCTGAACCACTATATTATGTAAATTGTGAAGCCTTCTAATTTATCATTCTTTATTTTAAACTCAGCTGACTGTTGAATGTAGTGCACACTAATAAGATCATGCTTCCCTTAACATGTGACCCCAGACCATTTGATATCTTTATTCTCCTGGCCATCTTCGCTAACTGTGTAGCTTTGGGGGTCTCCAAGCCTTTTCCAGAAGATGACTCCAACGCCACAAACCATGACCTCGTAAGTACTGAAAGAGAGAGTTGAATTGGGATGGTTTATTGACAGCAATAGAATGCTTTGGTCACAAACATTAATGGTCAGTTCCTGTAGTAGGATGTTGGATGTCTTAAAGTTGTTCTTGTATATTGATTTAAAGTGGCTGTTTTTGTGTATTTTCCAGTCTGGATCTTTTTTGTAAACAAGTTATTTTGGATAATTTGTGACATTGAAATGATTCAGTAGTTCACCCAGGTAACGCTCATTAATAATGTTTATTGACAGATATGTATTCCATATGTATTTCAGATGCATATATATATATATATATATATATATATATACACACACACACAACAGTTGTCTGGTTTCTTAAATCTGATTGGCTGATAGTCGTGCGATATTCTGGAATATCAGAACTCCTACAGCCTTTTTACCCTTTGTGTATTACTCTGCCACATACAGCCAGCAAAAAGCAGACACTACAGATCTAAAGTTTAAAAGATGCTTGCTCAACTGTTTAACTGTCAGCTTATGATTTGAATCCAATGTGGAAAAAAGTAGTTCCTCATACAAAAGGGTTTTTGAAACTCTTAGTGTTTGATTTTGTTTTTATATACACAATTATGCCATCAAACTGTTGTATAAACGCAATATCACACTCGTAGCAGTGCGATATGGCTGTATATGGGCACTGGTGGGGACAATAAGGATGCACGCCTCCTACCAGTGCCGATATACAGCCATATCGCACTTCTACTCGTGTGATATTGCTCATATATATATATATATATATATATATATATATATATATATATATATATATATATATATATATATATATATATATGGTAATAAGGGTGTATTTTTATTATTGTGTTGCTCGAATAATCAAATGTTGCTTCTTATTTTTACCCAATTGCTGCCAAATGATTGATTTTGGTTGATGTTGATCTTCATCTGCAGTGTTGCTTTTTGTCACACTATGATGTCATACCCTGCTAAAAAATCCAGCTTAAACCAGCCTAGCTGGTTGGGTGGTTTTAGCTGGTCGACCAGGCTGGTTTTAGAGGGGTTTTGGCCACTTCCAGGCTGGTTTCCAGCCATTTCCAGCCTGGTCTTAGCTGATCAGGCTGGAAAATGACCAGCTAAATCCAGCAAAAACCAGCTTGACCAGCCTGGTTTAAGCTGGACATAGCTGGTTTTGGCTGGACTCCCAGCCTGCTAGGCTGGTCAAGCTGGTTTTAGCTGGTCATCTCCCAGCCTGACCAGCTAAAACCAGGCTGGAAATGGCTGGAAACCAGCCTGAAAGTGGCCAAAACCCCTCTAAAACCAGCCTGGTTGACCAGCTAAAACCAGCCAACCAGCCTAGGCTGGTTTAAGCTGGATTTTTCAGCAGGGTATATTTAAACCAAATCTGAAACAAGCTATTTTGGCATTGTGGTTTCAACAAAAGCTGTTTTGGGAATACCAAGCTCTGAAAGTTGAATGTTTTCATAGTACATAGGCCTCTTCAGTATAACCTATAGACTACACTAACTGACAAAAGCCTTGTCGTCGTTCCCAGTTTTAAGAGCAACAAATCATAACTTGACTTCTAGTTGATCATTTGGAAATAGGAACTGCATTCCAGTCAACACAAAGACCTATTGGAACCAGCATTGAACCAAGATTCTAATAGAAATCAGTAAAGTTTGGTGAAGGAAAAATCATGGTTTGGGGTTGCATTCAGTATGGGGTGTGCAAGAGATCTGCAGAGTGGATGGCAACATCAACAGCCTGAGGTATCAAGACATTTGTGCTGCCCATTACATCACAAACCACAGGAGAAAATTCAGCAGGATAGCGCTCCTTCTCATACTTCAGCCTCCACATCAAAGTTCCTGAAAGCAAAGAAGGTCAAAGTGCTCCAGCCTAGCAACCAGCCATGGAAATTATTGAGCATTTCTGGGAGGAGGTATTGAAGATGAAGCCAAAGAATCTTGATGAACTCTGGCAGTCCTGCAAGAACACTTTCTTTACCGGACGACTTTATTAATAAGTTATTTGAGTCATAGCAGAGATGTATGGATGCAGTCCTCCAAGCTTATAGGAGTCATACACAACATTGAATATTTTTCCACTGGTCCATGACTTTATTTTCTGTACTGTACATTATTCCTGTTAAGTGACAAGACTTTTGTCTTAGCAAAGTCAGACCTTACTGTCCTAATTAAATAATTAATAATTAAAATAAGTGTAATCTAGAGGCCTTTGCCTTTCATATAAGCCACTTCTGATACCAAATGATCAACTAAAAGACAAGTTATTACTTGTTGTTTCTAAAAATTGGATAGGCGACAAGACTTTTGTCAGGTAGTGTATACAGTATCCCAAAAGAACAAGATCAATTTGGACTCTTTTAATAAACAAAAACTATGAGAAACATTTCATTTCACCCTCTTATTCAAGTCAGCTGCTGGGTTAATGCATACAATGTACAGTCGCCACCAGAGAGATCCAGAAGGTGTTTCCCTTCCCAGGTGTTGTTTCATAATCAGATGTATTGGGATGGTGCCCAGAACAGAGTATTGACCGAATTCTTGCTGACCCATTTGGGCGGTTTGTTATGGATGGCAGGTGCAGTCAGGATGCACACCAAGCTAAAGTTAGTGGAATTCACCTGTCACCTTTGTCTGCATCCTTATGGTTTTTTCAGCTTTGATTCATGATTTCCCAGCATTTCCTGTTTTAGCGCCCCATTTTGCTCTTTCAATCACATACCTTTCATGCCTCAATTTCAGTCTCAATCTGTTTATAAAGCACAATTAAAAACAATTTACAATTAAAAACAAACGGATAAAAATATAAATATAGACCATGCAAACAACACACAGCAAATAACATCACAAGCCATTTGCCATAGTGAAAATATGTTTTTAACTGTGATTTAAAAATATGTAATGTTAAATCGGTAGCATGTCTACATTCTCTGTTGTCAAAAAATATGTTAATTTTTTTTTAAATATTAATAGTGAATGGTAATGAATGGTACATAAGTATACAAAATGTCGACTCTCTGAATATACACAGAAATGCTCATTGGAGGCATTGGCCTGAAGCAAGAGTTTTATCATGTGACTCACTTCAGCGACACTATTTTGAGTCCTACTTTTGTCCCAATGTCAGATATACTAGAAGCTTTGTACTTTAAATATTACAATTTAAAAATCAGGTGCCATTTTGAGGTGAAAATCCTTTTTGATGTTTGATAATGCGGTTTTACTCTGTAATCCCCCTCATCTCCTACAACCTTTCATTTTAGTAATCCATCATCAGTCACATCTGATCCACTCAACATTCATTCTTAAAGGCATAGTTTACCCAGAAATTTATATTATGAATTTTTTGATGTCATTAGTATGTAAATTACTATAGTAATTTTTTTATTGTAGGTAGCTTTACCGCTTCAACGGCAGGCAGATTGAAGTTCAGCAAAAAAAAAACGCTCTTTTTCATAATATGGTATATGGATCATTTCCAACATATGTGGTTATTTTTTTTACATATATAATATATTTAGCATTTTCTTTGATATATATAGTATAAATCGCAAAAATACAGACTATTCTTCTGGTCCTCCAGTCAGTTTTATACTTCCTGCATATAGATAGATGTATAGAACTGGAAATCTGATATGTATATACAGGGCTGGACTGGGGCAAAAAATCAGCCCTGGCATTTTGGACTAGAGCGGCCCACTAAATTCAATCAAAATGCTATCTATCTATGCACGTCCAATATTTTTATCAACTCAGATTCTATAAAACACAAAAGCCATATATATGAAAAAAAATAATAAATAAATACAAACTTTAATCTCAATTAAATTTCTGTATACTGTCCATAAAGATATTTGTTGAGTTCTAAAAAATACACTATTCATTCATTTATTTTTCTTCGCATAAGTCCCTTATTTCTCAGGGGTTGCCGCAGTGGAATGAACTGCCAACTATTCCAGCATGTTTTATGCAGCAGATGCCTTTCCAGCCACAACCCAATATTGGAAATCACCCATACACACTCATTCACACACACTCATACACTACAGTCAATTTAGCTTATTCAATACACTATTCACTCAGCTTATATTTAATAATAAACATAATATAAACTGCCTGCTAATGCATGGGTAAATCTTCAAAGACAACAGAGTACTTTTTAACCTCTTTCACCTCATCCTGCTTGCTGTTTTACTATCTAAACAATGAAAACATAATATAAGTCAAATTTGTTTCATTTTGATATTATGATTAACAGACACCAAACAGCCTCGTGTAGCTGCATATTTATATCAGCATCATCTTCACTCTGCATATTTATAATGAAACAGGGCTTAAATATAACTGTCTCCTTTCATTTCCATTGAAAAAAATGAACTTTACCCTGTCTCTTTTGCAAAATGTCAGTTTTAATAATCAATAATGGCCATTATAACAGTATAACGTACATTAAATTTAAACGATAAAGGTAAGCAATCAGTCAATGTGCAGAATCAGTGTATGTGGTTACATAAATTAATATATTAGCCTATCTTTGCACTTAGCCAAAACAGTTAACTGAGAACAAGTGATTCAAAAGACATAAGAATTGTTAGATAGAGACAACAAGATGAATTCAATATCACGTTTAACAACTATAGTGAGATGACATGAGATCAGATCCAGCAGATGAACTGTCTGACATGCAATATACTCTCACCTGGGGTTTATGCTCACCCGCTGAACTACCGGCTGAGGGTCTTGGCAGAGAGTGTGTGGTCACGTGATTTGCGCTTTTAGCCGTGTACTAAAATGAACGGAGAACTTTTCAGAATTGCTAAATGAAACGCCGGTGTATTTCCCGCGATTTCTCTGCGCCTCCCTTGCGTTTCTTCTCTCTGACTCTCGACTATTTTGACAAATACACACAGACGACGCACGCTCACACGGAGTCCAAAATAGGAGTTTGTGATTGGGCCAGCCCAATGTCAGTAAAGAAAAGAA